ATGTCCTATAGGATCTGTGGGGATATTCCTCTATTATTCTAGATACTGGTACTTGATATTTTCTCTCTTTTTCTTGGTCAGTCTTGATAGAGGTTTATCAATGTTATTAATTTTTCCAGAAAAAACATTTGGTTTCATTGTTTTTCTCTATCATCTGTTTTCTATTTTATTGATTCTGCCCTTATTATTTCCTTTCTTCTACTTATTTTCAGTTTAATTTCCTCCTCTCCAGTTTTTGAAGGTAAAAATTTAGATGATTGATTTTAAGCCATTATTCTTAGCTAATAGAAGAATTTAAAACTGTAAAGTTTCTTCCAAATACCATGCTACAAATTTTGATATGTTGTATTTTCATTATTATTTAGTTCAAAATATTTTTAAATTTCCCTTTTTGTTTTTTCTTTGATCCACAAGTTATTTAAAGCTGTATTTTTAAATTTTCAAATATTTGGAATTTTTCTAAATATCTTATTGATTTTTAAATTAATCCCATTTTGGTCAGAAAACATCCTCAATCTTATTTCAGTCTTATGGAATTTATTGAGATGCTATTTTATCTAGCATATAATCCATTTTAGTGAATGTTCCATGGGCATTTGGGGGGAAAATGTGTATAGCAATTGTTATGGGTAGTATTCTATAAATGTCAATTCAACTGAGGGAGTCTATTGTGTCCTTCAGATCTTCTATATTCTAACTAAATTTTTGTCCAGTTATTCTGAGAGAAGGGTGATAAAATTTGCCACTATGATTGTGCATTTGTCTATTTCTCTCTTTTCTTCTGTTAGTGTTTGCTTCATGCATTTTGAAGCTCTGTTACTAGATTTAGTACAGATTACAAACAATTATTTTAAATATTATTATATCTTAGTACAGATTTATAATTATTATGCTTTCTTAATGTTTTGACCATTTTATCATTATGAAACATTCCTTTTATTTCCAGTAATAATCTTTGACTTGAAGTGTATTTTGTCTGAGATTAATATAGTTACTCCAGCTTTCCTATGTGTTGTTTAAATGCTGCCTTAGAGACCTAATAGAAATAGAACCTACTGGAGATCTATAACAATATTTCTTTATCTATCCATGTTTTCTTATGTGTAAAAAGAAAAAGAGAGATGGATAGAGAGAGATTTATTTCAAGCAGCTGGTTGATGTGCTTGTGGGGGCTGGTAAGTCAGAAATCTGTAGGGTAGGGCAGGCTGGAAGGCTCAAAACTTTCAGACAGAGGCTGAAGCTGTAGTTCATAGGCAAATTTTCTTCTTTCTTTAGGAAACCTTAATTTTGCTCTTAAGGCCTTTTGACTGATTGGATGAAGCCCACCCAGATGACAGAGGATAATCTCCCTTACTTGAAGTCAACTCATTGTGGATGTTAATCACATCTACAAAATACCTTCACAGCAACACCTGGATTAGTGTTTAATTAAATAACTGGGCACTAATCAAATTGACACATAAAACTAATTATCACAAATGGTATATATTTTTCCATCCTTTTACTTTCACTTTGTCTCTTTGGATTCAAAGTACACCTCTTAGAGTCAACACATATCTGGGTCCAGTCAGACAATCTATACCTTTTCATTAAAATGTTTAATTCATCAATTTCGTCAATAATTCATAAAACTACATTTGATGTAATTACTGATAAATTTGGGTTTAGGTCTGCCACTTCCTATTTGTTTTATATTGATTTCATCTGTTTCCTTGTTCATTTGTTCTTCCTTTCCTGATTTGTTTGGAATTAATAAAATATTCTAAAATATTTTATTGTGATTCCTCAATTAGTTTTATAGCTATATATTTTTGCATCTGTAGGAGTTGTTCCAGGTATTATAATGTACATCTTTGACTTACCACGATCTACTTAGAGTTAATATTGTACTCCTTCACATAAAATATAAGAATCTTGCAACAAGACAGTTCCATTTACACTTGCCATCATAGTTTTCACTGCATGTCATATATATTAATCTACATATGTAATAGACCCCTCACTACAGTGTTGTAATTTTTGCTTTAAATAGTCATGTCTTTTAAAGAATTGAAGAAAAGACAAAATATGTATAGTCTTTTATATTTATCCACATATTTATCATGTCTGTTGATTTTCACTTTTCCTATAAATCTGAGTTAACATCTGGTATCATTTCCCTTCAGTCTGAAAAATTTCCTTTAACATTTTTTGTAGTGTTAAGTGTGATGGCTAATGAATTCACCTCGTTTTCCTTAAAATTAATTTATCTTCATTTTTGAAGATAATTTTGCTGAATATAGAATTCTGAAAAACAAAGATCAAAAAATTATTTTTAATTCTGAGTTCACAGGGATTTTTTTTCCTTTTTTTCTTTTGCATTTTGAAGATACTGCTCAGTTGTGTCCTGGCCTCCATCATTGCTGTGAAGTTGGCCATCATTGTACCATTGTTCCTCTCTGCAAGCTTTCAGTATGTTCTCTTTACCTCTGCAGTTTGACCATCTGTGCCTAGGTGTGGTTTTCTATATGTTTACTTTGCTTGGGGTTCACTGGGCTTCTAAGATCTCTAAATTAATGTCTTTCACTAAATTTGTGAAGATTTGAGCTATTATTTCTTTAAATAATTTTCTTGCCCATTCTCTCTCTCTCCTTTCCTTCCTGGGCTCCAGATACATTCATGTTAGATTGCTTGATGTTGTCCTACAGGACTCTGAGGTGCTCTTCATTTTTCTTTAATATTTTTCCTCTTTGTCCTTCATATAGGATAACTTCTATTGGTCTGTGTACAAGTTCACTAACTCTATTTCCTGCCTTCTCCACTCTGCTGTAAGCCCACCCAGTAAACATTTTATTTCATTTTTTGTAACTTTCAGTTCTAGAATTTCCGTTTGGTTCTTTTATTATAGTATTTTTTTCTGCCAAGATTCCCTATCTGTTAATTCATAACCCAATTGTTTTCCGTTAAGTTTTCAAACATATTATAAAAGGGCTTCGCTGGTGGTGCAGTGGTTAAGAATCTGCCTGCCAGTGCAGGGGACACACGTTCGAGCCCTGGTCAGGGAAGATCCCACATGCTGTGGAGCAACTAAGCCTGCGCATGAGCCACAACTACTGAGCCTGCATGCCACAACTACCGAAGCCCGAGCGCCTAGAGCCCGCGCTCCACAACAAGAGAAGCCACCGCAATGAGAAGCCCACGCACCACAACAAAGAGTAGCCCCCGCTCTCAGCAACTAGAGAAAACCCACGTGCGGCAGCAAAGATCCAATGCAGCCAAAAATTAAATAAATTAATTAATTTAAGAAAACATATTATAACAGCTGCTTTAAAATCATTGTCTACTAACTGCAACATCTGCATCATCTCAGGATGGGGGTTGTGGGTTGACTGACTGCTTTTTTTAATTGAAAATGGGTCATGTTTTCCTGTTTCTTTGAATGTCTACTGAGTTCTGATTAGATACTAGACATTATGAATGATATGGTATGGACTCTGGATTGTGTTGTATTTCTTTGAAGGGTATATTTGATTCAAGCTGTCAGTTAACTTAGCTGGACCGAAACTCCAAGCTCTGTCTCCGCTATGGTGAGTAACATCTGACATCTTTGCTCGGTTCCTTCAGCTTCCAGCCACTGCTTTTTTGCCAGGCTGCCTGGAATCTCCTTAATGCTTGACAGTTTAGCTTAATAACTTAAAATCAACAGAGAATATGAACAGATTTTCCATGTAGATTTGGGGGTTCACCCCTGCTACAGTTCCCTCCTTTTCAGGCCCCCCTCAGTTTTCTGGTTGCTCTGCCCTTACCAAATTAGTGAGGCTGCAGATTCTACCACTAGATCCACGTGGGTATTAGAGTTTTCATTAGAAAATGGCTACAAACTCACTCCTTGCAGTTTACTTTTTTTCAAGGGTAGACACCCTTTCAGTTTATGCCTGCTTTTAGTCATTCCCCAGTGTCTTCAAATAATTTTTTTTAATACTTTCCCAGATTTTATAATTGTTATCTGTTGCCGGTGACTGTTTGGGGGGTGGGTGGATGGGTAAGTCCCACAAAGCTATTCTTCCCTTATTAGAAACCAGAACTGTATTATCCCTTTTCACACAGTAGGAAACTGAGGCACTGAGAAATTATGTGACTGGCCCAAAGTCTTGTGGCTAATAATCAACTTCAATACCCAAGTCTTACCACAGTCGACTGACGGGGAGCCGCCCCTGAATCTTTCTAGTTTGAAATGTCTCCATACCCCTCCCTCTTCTCACCCTACAAACAGCTTTACCCTGAATCTTGTGTGAGGGGCTGGATGAAGGGCTGAATCCCACAACACTTGTCATTCACTGAATTCTGCACTTGTGTGACCCTGTCCCCATCACCACCCTGGCCTTCTCAGGAGCTTCCCGCTGCTCTCCCCACAATGCCTCTGGCTCACTTCAATGCATTATCCATGCAGCAGCCGGGGGGGGGGGGGTCTTTCTGAAACATAAATTTGAACTTGCCATCTCCTCCCTTCTTCGCATGCTGGCCCTACCTAAATTCTTCCAGTGGCACCCCACAGCTCTCAAGAATAAGACCCCCGTCCTTAAGATGGCCCAACGCCCTGCAAAGTCCAGCCCTGCCCTTGTATCCTCAGAGCTTAGCACACAGCAGGTGCTTACTGAACAAAGGAGCCACTTGACAGCTCTGAGTGGCCCCCTTACGCCTCCTCAGTTTGTGATGCAGAGCAAATGACTCAACTGGAGTGAAAGGTGCTCCCCAAAGCTGTAAACGTGCAACGCAAGTAAGAGCGGCCTCATCACTGAAGTTAAAAATGGGAGTATGGAAACGGAGGAGGCAGAGGGGCGAGGACGCGTGTCTGGAGAGGCGCGGCGGTGCGGCGGCGCCCGTGGGAGCGGTGGCCGCGGTGGGAACCAGCGGCGCCCAGGCTCTCAGCGCTCCGGGCTGGCCCCGCTCGCTCGCTCGCTCGCTCGCTCGGCTTTGACGGCTGCTCCCGCCAGGCACAAAGGCCTGTTTCATGCCCAACGATGGAATGGGTTTTGTGTCTGCCCGCGGGTTCCCCGCGACCGGAGAATCGGGGACCTGAGTTTGCTGCCCAGTGAGCCTCTGAGGGTGGCAGGGACCCGGGCTCCAGGAAGTTCTCTCTGGCCCCCCAGGGGTTGGGGTGAGTGAGGGGAGGGACCAAACTGAGCAGGGAGGCAGAGGGCGCTTCTGAAGTCCAACGTCCAGCGGGTCACCGGGACGATGCCGATCATTCTTGTTCTAAAGGGAAGTCCAGCAGGTTATTTACTGGTGGTGCGTTTTGTATGGGCTCTGTGCGCAGCCCCATTTATTAAGTATCTGGGTTTCTGTCTCTGGGTCTGTTTCCCTGCCCCTGGGTCCCCTCCTCTCTTTGCCAAGAGACGCTGCGGTGTACTAACTCACTTCCCATCCCTGACACCAGCCACTGCCCGGCCCAGAGCAAGATTGGAAAGGCTTGCTGAATAGGCACAAGTACCCTCTGGGGGGCGGGGGGAGGAGGCGTTTATTATTTTCATTTTCCTGATGAGGAATCTGGGGCCCAGGGAGGTCACCTGCCCAGGACCATGCAGCTAGAAGCAAGCAGGTGCAGAGGCACTGGATGGACACATGAGCTTCCCACGGGAGATTCCCTGAGCTTCGTGGGCTTCCGCCAGCCAGCTCCAGGTCAGAGAGCCCAGCCTGGCAGCCAGGCCCATGCCACCCCACCAACAGCTCCCCAAGCACTCCAGTGTAGGGATGGCTCTCTGTGCTTGACCCCGGACAAGCAGTACTAGCAGCTGTTGAAGCAGCATCTCATGTTCTGAGCTCCTAGAACGATTCAGAGGCCGTGTGAGCTCCTGTCTGAGACAGAGCTTCCCAAACTTTGTCACAGCACGGCACATGAGAAAAACGACGACATGGCATGGCACGACCCACTGAAATAAAGTGAGGGGCTGCTTTCAGCCAGAGGCTACAGCTGGGGGAGGGGGTGGCAGATGCCCCGGGAACCTGGGACCATCTGGAGGATCGGATGGAGGAGATCTCGGTCTTAGAACACCTGTAACTCATTCCCGGCACATCAGTGTGCCCTGCCCACAGATGGGAACTCTGCTCTTGGGCAGGTGGAACTGTACAACCTCTAGCCCTTCTGAGCAAGCACGCTCAGCCTCTCACAGGGAGGTCCAATGACACGGCTGGGTTTCCCCTCCTCACAGCCTGCCCCCATCTCCCTAAGCCCTCACAGACCCCAGGATCTGGAGCCCCCTTTCCTGCTCCAACTCTACCCCCACTGACCTCGCAGCCCCACTTTCGGTCCAGCCCGACCATCCTACCCCTTCGGCAGGTGTGATGGTGACGAGTGTGGGCTGTGGAGTCCAGTCGCCTGCATTAAGATCCTGGCTCCACTGTCTTCCAGCTGTGTGGCTTTGTGCCAGTTCCTTAATTTCTCTGTGTCTCACTTTCCTCACCTGTAAAACAGAGAAAATGACGGATCTACCGCATAGGGTCGCTGGGAGGGACTGTGGACACACAGCTGCTGGCACAAGGAAGATGCATGCTGAGTCTTAGCTCTTGTTACTATGACCCCCCCCCGCCATAACCCACATGGCTCAGGAGCCGTACCCTCACCCAACATGAGATGCCCAGTCGCCCCTAACAGTCAGTTCCCAGCCTGAGTCAGTGTCCTCAGCAAGCCCATGGTGCAGGGACCCCGGAGGAGTCTCACTGGCTACACCAAGTTGGCGCCGAGGACGGCTGGGGTTTGGCCTGGACACTTAAGAGCCGAGGACTAAGCAATGCCCACGTGACCTGCTGTGTCCACTTTGTCCATCAGAACAACAATGTCAGGCCACTGGCAATGGGACCAGCCTCTGAAGTGGTCATCTGAGCACCCTGGGAAACACTTTATCCCCTTCCTTTACCTTCTGTCACTGAACTTGGCCTGGGCAGAAGGATTTCTGTGCCACCATGGAACAATCTCCCATCCAGTAAGTCCCTTCTGGTATCCGACTACAATCCCTCCTGCTGTCGTTAGCTCACTCCTTGAGCTCTGGCCTGAGGGTGGTGAAGGCTGGATCCTCACTCTCCTCCCTGCCCTGGGCCCAGTGAAGTTTGTCTGAAAGCTGAGGAGAGAGGAGGTGTTCTTGAACACCAGCGTGAACACAGAGGAGAGGGCAGTTCGGGGACTCAAGGGTCAGCTGGGGAAAGCACCTGCCCAGCCCAGGTGTAAACTCAAGTAAGCCGCATCCCGCGTTTGCGCCATCACCTTTCCGAGGGAACCAGACTGTGGTTCCTCATTCCCACCACAGGGTGTCTCCACACCCCGGCTCAACCAGCCACCCAGGCCGCGGCTCCCTTTGACACAGCCCTTCATGGGTCTGTCCTCAATCCTTCCCTTACTATTTAGCGTGTTTCCTCCTGTTTTGCCTTCAGGGGAGACAGGCCCTGACTGTTGGCAAGTGCAAGGCCTGTCACTACCCACACCTCCGCCTCATTGGGTTAAGCTGAGTGGCCTGGAGAAGGAATTGCTTCCCTTGTGGACCCACGTGCTGTGGTCCCCTGGGTGGTGTTTAGGAAATCCTGGCCCCTCCCACAGAAGGCCTTGACCGGCTACAGAGAGGCTTGTGCTGTCTTCTGTGGAGACCCCTCCACAGTCTGGCAGGGTAACTGGTGACCTAGGTATTGCTTCCTAACCTCCACAATCCACCTTCTCACGAACTTCTCCCTGTGATGGTAATTAGAAGAGGCATAATTATCTCCTTATGAAACATTAAATGGGGCTATGTAGGTGAAAAACATTTTGAAAGCTCTTTATTAAAATATAAATGTTGGTTGCCAAAGACAGGGCAACTGAGGCCCCACAAGGTTAAATGACTTTCTGGAAGCCACACAGCAAGTCAGTGGTGGCCCGAGGGGAGGAGCCCTGGCCTCCTGATCCCAACCTAGATTCTTTCAAGACATCACACTTGGCTTTGGAATGGGCTCCTCTGTGTGACCCTAGTCCAAGGGGGTGAAAGGGCAGCAGAACAGAGATCCTGGGGGAGAGAAAGGAAGCCAGGGATGAAGGGGTTAAGGGGGCGTGGAGCCAGGATGGCTGAAGGCTATTCACAGACCAGTGGAAGCGGAGGAGACCAGGAACGGGTCTGGCTTTGATTAGGTCCCAAAGCTATCTGCAGGGTCAGAGTCTGGAGATTGGTTGGTTTTACGGGGGGCAGATGGCATGAATTATAGGGGCTTTAATGGGGCAGCAGGGCTCTACCCACAGTGCCTTTGGAAGGTGTTGGTGCAGGGCCTCTTCCCTAGCAGCCTGGCCCAGTTACATCAGCTCCAGCCACTGCTGTGCTTCCTGCCCCCTCTCCACGCGCCCCACCAAACCCACCCCTGAGGAGTCTTGGAGGAGGTACCATCACCCAAAGGAGAGAGACCCTCTGCTTCCTCTGTAGAAGCCGCATCAGGATGCGGTACCAGCCTGGAGCCGCTGTGGGATGGGCTTCACAAATCATGAAGGGCCAGCTTGCCCCCAAGCTAACTGCAGGCCCTTAGACAGTCATCAAACCACGTCCTTGATGGGGAGGGGCTGGAAGACCATCCCATCCAACTGCTTCCACAGAGGGTCACCCCGCTAACACCTCGGTGCTGAACTTGAACCCGGGGGTCCCAGCTCACGACCCAGTACCTTTTCATGACCACACTCCCATCACACAGCCTCTCTGGGTCTATTTCCTCACCTGACCTAAGAGTATTTGTTTGGCCTCCCTCACAGCTGAAATGCAATGAAACATTGGCTACAAAAGTCTTTGAAAAGTTAAATCCATCAGGCAAATGATTGCAACATTATTGCAGTTTGGTGAACAGGCTGGGAAGCCCGGGGAGTTCCCTGGGGGCAGACCAGCTGGCCCCTCTACCCTGTAGGGAGCCCAGCTGACACCCCCCGAGTCTGGCAGTCCCTCTGCAGTGCAGCGCTGCTCAGGGAAAGCAAGAAGCCCTCCACCAGGCAAACATCATGAAGAGGACAGACTATTCCAAACAGACAAACAAAAAACCGAACAGAAAACACCTCTCTTCCTGCATCCCAAAGCCAAACAGAGATGATTTCTCAATCATCCCCTAGGGCATTATCCTACCCTGGCGGTCACCTTATTCCCAGATGAGGTGGGGGAGAGATGGAAGGTTGACAACCAATTCTCCCCGAACTTTGGATGCAATCTTGGCCAGAAAGCAACCCGAGCGATATCTGTCAGCTTAAAGGACATGCCTCTGACACGGCAATTCCTCTCCTAGAAATGTACCCCTCAGTTATATTTGCACAGACGTGTATGTATAAGGCTGTCCACTGCAGTTTTGTTCATGATAACTAAAAACTAAAAAGAACTTAAGTATCTATCACTAGAGGGTGGGGTAAATAAATTATGGTCCATCTATGCTATACAATACCAGCCAAAGAATGAAGTAGATATGTGTGTATATAAAGAAATATATGTACATATAAATGAAGTAGATTTATATGACGATCTGTAAGATATATTAAGAAAAAGTCATATATGGCAATATAAATATGAATATTATTATATGAATAAATAAATAAAATATGAATATTTTTATTAAAAATAAAACTTTTAAATTAAAAAATAAAAGAGCAAGTCATATATGGAAGAGTGGGTATCATATGTTCCTGCTGATGGCAAAAAAAAAAAAAGAAGTAAATGCATTTAAGCATAGAAAATTCCTGAATGATACACAAAAAGCTGTTCATTGTAGTGTTAGAGGCCGTCTAAGAGGCAGGTCGTCTGCATAAATGGGGACTTGCTTTTCAGTATCTTCCTATTTTAGCATATATATATGTGGTAATTTTTTCAGTTAAATGAAGGGGAGAAAAAAGAGTCTAGAAAAATAACTGCTTGGGCTCAGTCCCATTTCTCAACTCCATTCGCCTTCCAACTTCCAAAGTCTTAGCCGTGCTTCCTTCCCACCCAGCCCTGACCCACTCCAGCCTCCAAGCCTGTCTGCACTACAGCCTCTGCCCCCGGGGTGGCTACTCTTCACTCTGTGAGGATCAAGGCGTCCCTTTCATGCTCAGCTCCAAGAAGCACACAAGGGCCTCAAATGCTTGGAGGAGGGAAATCGCCCCAGATGGGAGCCCTGTGTGCCAGCCAAGGGGCTTGGCTTCCTATTAAGTGTGGAAGGAGTGGCAGTTAAACGTCAAGCTTCAAAGAGTCTAGGATTTTCCAAACTTGCTTTTGGGGAATATGCAGCTTTTATTGGAGGTGTCAGACATTAATGGGAGCTCTGGATTGGATCTTTCCCAGCCTGAATAGCGCTCTCCCTCCCTTCTCCTTCCCCACTCCTTCCAGCAACCAGATAGCTCCCCTCTGATGAATCAAGAGAGGCTCCGAGTTCAAGGGGTATTCCTGTCCCACTGCTCAGTCCACTTCTCCCCCCCTTCACTTCTATAAGAAGGTGTGGAAGCTGAGAGGACCCGAGAGGAGGGGAGTGGGAACCCAAGGGAAGGGCAGGGAGCAGGTTCAGACAGAGGCAAAGAAGGGCAGGCTTGCTCACCTGCTCCTTTGCAAAAGGTTTCGTGGCTGATGACTATGAATTCCGGGGCCTGCCCTTTGCCAGCTGCGATGAACCCTCAGCAAACAATTGCTCCTCTGGGTAGTGATCATGCTCTTAGCTCTTTGTCTCCTCAATTCCCCATCCTTCTGCTAAAAGTCCCTTCTTTCAAGTTCCCTGGACCAGTGTCCCTACTCTTTCCCTCCCCACAGAAAGTCCCCTTATTTATGGCCTAGAGCTTGGCCAGATGCTCATGGAGCCTCTGCTCTTGGCAGCAGTGGTTAGTTCAGGAGAGCAGCGGTGGGCTCCCTGACTCCACTCCGCCTCCCACTGGCTGAGCGTCCTCATTAGTCAAGAAGCAAGCCTGCCTCCAGTCATGGGGAGCACGCACGTTTCCCCAGAGCCAACACAGCCTGGTCTCTTCCTGGGAAGGGCTATTTCTCCTCTTCATCTGACTTTGACCCTGCCCTTTATAAAACAATAGCCCCAGCATTCATTCATCTAAGAAAGCATCACTCATCCCTGAGCTTGGCTCACAGTAGAAGCCGCACCACGTCAGTTGTTAAGTGTTCTCAGCATCTGGAATGACTCTAATTAGATTTGTCCTAACTCCTAACACCCCCTTGATGAAAGGGGGAGAGGCCAAGTAGTTCATTCCACCATAATAAGAATTATCATCAAGGAGTGTCCATCCAAGTAGGTCCTGTCTCTGACAAGGATGTGGAGAGGATGCTGGTCTCCTGATGTCACCGTCAGAATGACACGGGGGGAGCGTGTCCAAACATCCCTGATTCTCTGGGTTGACATTAGTGGACCTGACCCTTTACAGTTTACCAAGCATGGTAACACACAGTATGTCTTCTAATCCAACTCCTGGGGGGCT